AGTCTCTTTGGCAGGCTGGGCACAGTGGCTCATGCCTCTAATCCTAGCACTCTGCAAGGCCGAGGAGGGTGAATTGCTGGAGCTCATGAGTTCAAGACCAGCCTAAGCAAAAGTGAAACCCCCATCTCTATTACAAAGAGAAAACCTGAAGCAAGAGAATCTTTTGAACCTGAGTTGAAGGTTGCTGTGAGCTACGATGCCACAGCACTCTATCCAGGGCAACAGCTTGAGACTCTGACTCAGGGGAAAAAAAAAGGGTGGGGTGGGGTGGCAGGTGTTGAAAGCTGTTTCCCTTTTGTCTATTCTCTGTAAAAGTGTCCATATGCTTGACATTTCTTCAGTAGCTTTTAAGAAAAATCAGTAAGGAAGCCAGAAGCTTGCAACTTCTGTTGGAGGAAGGTTTTTATATTTTTCTTGCAGTTTTATTAAAATTTGTATCAAAGCAAGATCCATACATTTTATTTGAGATGTCTTTTAAAGCCGTTTTTGTAGCCATCACATCTCCCCTTTTGTGTGCTCTTTTATTTTTTGAGACAGTCTCAGCTGTCACCCTGGGTAGAGTGCCATCACAGCTCACAGCAACCTCAAACTCTTGGGCTTAAGCAATTGTCATGCCTCAGCCTCCCAAGTAGCTGGGACTACGGGTGCCCACCACAATGCCCAGAATTTTTTTTTTTTTTTTTTGGTCGTAGTTGTTTGGCAGGTCAGGGCTGGATTTGAACCTGCCAGCTTTGGTGTATGTGGCTGGCACCCTAGCCGCTGAGCTACAGAAGCCAAGCCTGCAATTTACTTTTTAAAGAAATTTAATCATTTATTCTGAGGACATTCCTAAACTCTGTAGATTTGACTGACTTCATTTTTGTGGTATTATTGAAAACACTTCTTCATCAACTGTATTTTTTTTTTTGTAATGTCAGGTTCAGAGATTTGATAAAACTCAACTTCAATTATTTTAACAATACTTCTTGCTTAAATTGATCTTTAAGCACCAGTTTGTTAATATACCCATTAAAAGTTCTTCCCATCAACTTTTCTTCTAATGGCTTGATAATTTTTTTTTTTTTTTTTTTGGAGATAGAGTCTAAAGTGTCATGGCGTCATAGCTCCCAGCAACCTCAAACTCTTGGGCTCAAGTGATACTCTTGCCACAGTTTTTCATTTTTAGTAGAGACAGGGTCTTGCATTTGTTCAGGTTGGTCTCTAACTTGTGACCTGAGGCAATCCACCTGCCTTAGCCTCCCAGAATGCTAGAATTACAGGTGTGAGCCACTGCACCCAGCCTGGCTTGATCATCAGCTACATCATTTCATCAGGAATAGTAAAACAGTGATTTTCTAATTTTGTCATTCCTACTCCATTTATTAGCCAAATTCCAGTATAAAGTTATCCTTATCAATTATTTTCCTAAAATGTAAAAATATTAGAATGCAACATAAATACATAGTGGGAGATAGGCACCAAAATGACCCTCAATTATCCTTGCCTCCTGGTATTCACACTCTTGAGTAATACCTTCCTCTTGTGTGCTGGTGAAGGACTTGCTCCTAATAAATAGAATATGGTAATGTTGCTGGGATGCCACTTGTATAATTAGGCTGCATAAATGTCTATTTTGCTAGAACACTCTTTCTGATTTTGATGAAAAAAGATATGATGCTGGCCAGTAAGGAGCTGAGCCCTTAGTTCACCATCCCACAATGGCCTGATCCTGTCAACAGCCTCTTGAGCTTTGAAATAGATCCCTCCCCAGTTGAGTCTTCAGATGAGCCTCTAGCCCTGGATGACATCTTGTGAGATCCTGAACTGCAAAACCTAAGTAAACCCTGATAATTTAATAATTCATTAAGGCAAATACATTAATGAAAAAAATGTTATTTCTGCCCCAATTTATTTGTCCTAAAACCTAATTACAAAATATGATGCACCATTTAACTGTAGTCATTATGCGATAGATGACTCCAAATTCTTTGACACTTCTTTCAAGCTTGCATCTGCTCTTGTTTGTGACTAATCAAGAGGGCACAGTGGAAGTAATGCTATACCAGTTCCAGCCTAGCTTTTCAGAACACTAGCAGCTTCTTTCGTGGAGCCATGAGACCCCACTGAAGAATTCTGACTGCCCTGCTGAAGAGATCATAATTAGAGGACCTACAACTACATAATAGTAGGGGACACAGTTTAACCAAGCCTTTCAGCTATCCTTGCCAATGTACTAGGCATATTAAGTGGAGTTGAACCCTTGGAACAGACCAGGGACCATGTAAATACTACCAACTGACTTCAAGCAATGCTATGTGAAGCAGATGAATGGCTCACTCAAACCATGACTGAAGTCCTGACCCAGGGCTGAGTGCAGTGGTTCATGCCTTTAATCCTAACACTCTAGGAGGCTGAGGTGGATCACTTGAGCTTAGAGGTTCCAGACCAGCCCAAGAAAGAGCAAGACCCAGCTCTACTAAAAACAGAAAAATTAGATGGGTGTTGTGGCTGGCACCTGTAATACCAACTACTAAAGAGGCTGAAGCAATAGGTTTTCTTGAGACCAGGAGTTTGAAGTTGGTGTGAGCTAGGCTAATGCCAGGGCACTCTAGGCTGGGGCAACAGAATAAGACTTTGTCTCAAGAAAAAAAAAGAACATGCAAACTTATTTTAAGCAAAATATATACCTGCTTGTTTCAATTTTAAAATATTTAAGATGATAATTTCTTCAAATACACCCTTCTTTTCTTTGACTTCCTTGTTTTGTATTTAGGAATCACTTTTGCAGCCAGTGATCATTCATTTGACAGATGTACACTTAGTGCCATGATGTGCTTGACACCACTAGAAGCACTGCTTAGGCAACAGAAATCACCTTGTGTTAATTTAATAGTTAAATAAAAACAAATCACCAAAGCACACATTCAAAATACTGATAATCAAATAGCTAGACACTGTGGCAGGTGCCTATAGTCCCAGCTACTTGGGAGGCTGAGGCAAGAGAATCGCCTAAACCCAGGAGTTGGAGGTTACTGTGAGCTGTGTGACGCCACGGCCCTCTACCAAGGGCGATAAAGTGAGACTCTGTCTCTAAAAAAAAAAAAAAAAAAAAAAAGCCAAAATACTGATAACCACTGTTGGCAAAACTGTAGAGAAAGTTTCCATCTTACACCACTGTCATAACCTGTTTGCAGGACAATGTATTGGTTCCTAACAATGTAAATGCCACTTAAGGGAACAACTACAATTTTAACATTCTATCCTGCAGACATATTCATTCCATCTACATCAATACATGTACAGGAATGTTCGTTACAGCATTTCTGTAATAATAAATAATCAGAGGTTATTAACCTAAATATCCATCCAAGTTAGCGAATGGCTAAAACTTTATGGTACAATCATATAATGGAAGCCCTTTGTAGTGGCTTAAAGTTGTAGAGGACCAAGTTGTACTGCTGTCCTCCTCCAAAAGCATGTTACAATTTGGCCATCTAGCTCCATACTTACATATGCATAGAAAGTGCCCCCCAAAGTACACTTTTCCATTTACTCCAACAAACATGTTCTGGCAAACTGGAAAGTTTTCACCAGGTGAGAACCTTTATGATGGAATTACTCATTCTTAAATGGATTGAGTTTAAAACAGATGGAACCATGTAGTCCTAAGTTCCAAGACAGAGCAAAGCAAAGGGATAGGATCACATTGGGACCCAGGAAAATGTGCTTTGTGTGAGATGGCAACAGTTCCTTGAGAAGATGGGTAGGTAGAAACCTGTGTGCAGTCTGGTGTATTCATTGGCCCCTCCAATTTGTCAGTGTCGGGCCTGATCTAGCTCACTGGTCTCCCCACAAGAGCCTACCCATTGAAACCGCTCTTTCTTTTCTAAAGGATTGGCTCCTGAAGTGCTTTCTATTCCCTCCACCTCCTTTTACTGTTCCCTGTGTGTTGGACTCATGCTCATCTCTTCCCTGACCTCCCCAACCCAGCAGGAAAGGCTATAGGATTCAAATGTTTGGAGTCCCTGTCTGTTCTTGGCTAGTTTGAAAGTTCTGCATCCCCTTAAGTTGTCTTCATGATGGAAGCAATCAGCAGAAGATAGGCAAAAACTAGAAAAACTTTACCTTGACACTCACAGGAGTTTAGTTCAAGTCTCATGAATACACAAAATATTTGAATTGTAAAATATTAGACTAAAAAAACATAACCTGTTTCTTTTCATTCCTCTGAATGAGCTGTCTGTCATTCAGAGTCCCAGTTCTGTGTGGTCTTGGGAGTGGGAGACACAACTGACCAATGTGGAAAGAAATTACTGTATTTGCTTGGGATACGGCACCTGACTCACTCAGTAAAGGGCAGGTTTTCCAATACTGGGTCTTAAACAATCTGCTAAATTTATACTAACTATCCTAGGGAGCTGAGCATGTCTTTGAAGCTTACACCAAAGCTCTTTTCCCTCATAACTCTACTATAATATTATAAGACACATTTCATCGAGATAGATTTTATGATTAATCATGAAAACAATCGAGAAAAAAATAGCTGCAAACGTTATTTTGGCAAGTTCCCAGAACAAGTTTACAAGGCACCCGGACATACCCTGTTAAAAAGCCTCTTTCCTCAAACAGGGGCCCCACTTCTTTACTCCAGTCTGAAAGAAATTAGCCCATTTTATTGCCATCAAATGCAGAGTCCTAGCTTCTCAGTTGGGAGTAAAACAAAGGTGAATCAGAGTACAGACTGCAACCACAGGATCATGACCATAAACACCCAGTTTGCTCTGAGGTAAAATAAATCCACTCATATTTGCAGAATACTTCACTCTCTCGTCTGTAATATGTCATGAGATTCATGCAATAAGCATTCATCAAATACACACAAGAAAAAGCATCTGAGAAAAATGCTGGGAACAAAAAATAAGTGGCAAATTATGTCATATCACTGAGTTCCCTTTTAACAGGATAACAGTATCACATAGTTATATATTTAAAACTTAATTCATGAAAAGAAAAAGCACAATTTAAATGGAAACAAAATTGTGACCATAAAAAAGGAATCATTTTCCTGCCCTCAAAAGGGGAATCAAGATGAAAGTTCCTGGGAATATTTTTCCCCCCATTTATTCTTATTCCTTACTCTGCCCGTGACTACTTAGGTTGCCTGGTTGCAGGGTTAAGTTCTTTGTGCATAATTATTTTAGACGGAAGCTGAGATGCTGACCCTAGAATTGAACAATTAATACCTAACACAGCCCAACCTGGGAACACAATTCTTTTCCTAATTCAAAAAAGTCTTATGAAACTCTAATGTAACTGTTGTATTTTCTAAACTATAAGCAACTTGAGGGAAAGAAATGTTTCTTCACCTTGCTAGCTCTGTAGTTAGCAGAGGTAGCAATAGATACTTGGCATTCTGAATAATAAGTATGCTAGCTTATCAAATTCTGACTTTGGACTTTTCTCGTTCATTTTGACATCATGAGCTGAGGAAACAATCCACGTGAAACAAACCCACAAGAAATGAATACCGAAACAAAGATATTAAGTTCCTAAGAAGTAGAGATATAGTTTGTGTGCTGAGTATGAGAGGTATATAGGTTGGGGAAAATGTTATACCAAGCTTTACTGTATGGTCACCTTTATTTTTCCTGAGAAAATGCACCTACCAAGTTAAGATCATAATGTGACTGGGATACTTTATAGCTGAAGTGGATAAATCCACTCCTCCCCCCAAAAACAGATGGGTGAGCACACCAAGGAGAAAAAAACAAAAACAAGCAAGCAAATAACTAAGAGACAAGCAAAACCTAAATAATAATCATACTCTGGAACTGCACTTCAGGAAGTATCCTGAAGTTAACAGGGTGGATGATGATCAGTGTTAATCTACATGGGACTGTGTTTTGATTTTTTAGATTATTGTGACATCCAGATTTTTAGTTCCTCTTAGTGATTTACACTGTTTCTTTGAAGCACCTAGGGTTGCTCTGCCATGCCTGTTTGTAAACCCTCCCTTGTCAAAGCCCCAACACACATAAATGCACCTAACAGGCATTTGTTCCTGACTGACTTCCCTCCTAGGCTTTGCCCACCTTTACAATGGTTCCAACCCAACAGTCCATCCATGAAGCATTATTTGCAATTGTAGGAGCACAATGGGCTGTTTCAAAAATTCTGTTTCAAAATTCTGCTGTCATTCTCCCTGTTCATATTCCAGGAATGACTTAGAAACCTTGATAAGGACTGACTCAATTCTAATAGACTGTGACCATGAATCAGGTTCATAATGAGAGTACTCCATGCCGTACTACAGCTCCCAGTTCACCTCTTACATGCATGCACCATGATGCCTATCTATTCTAGTAGCCTATAAGACTATTAATGCCACGGTCCATGTGTTATCACCTATTGACAAATTGTTTCCTGACACAGTGGCTTAGTAAATGCTGAATTAGATAACTGACTGATAAAAGAAAATTAAAGACAGAAACAGGAAAAAAAAGAAAAACTCCAGGTTAAATGGAGAACTCTTAGGTCTAGGAGATGAAGTGAAGGGGAATAGAACACAAGGAAATGAAAACTGAAACTTGTCCAATGACCCCTCATCATGAAACTAAAAGAATCATATAAAAATGTTATTTTCTTTTCTATAAATACATTTGGAAAGTGGTTCCCAACCCAGTCTCATCCCATTAAATCCTGTACCTGTTAACTTTTCTTAAATAAAAAGGATGCTATTGCTGCCTTATGCTATACCTGTAGTTGCTAAATTGAACAATATTGCCTGGACAAGGCATTATCACTCTAGTTGCAAATAAAGGTTCTTCCTGGGGCCAAGAAGTGGGATTTTTAGGGGTACCCATTGGGCTGTGGGCAAACAGCCAAAAGCCAAACAAACCAAAACAGGCATCTGAAATAGTCATAATCATACTAGTATGAATTATGAATTAGGTGACTCAGCCAAGAATGTACAGGAGTTAGATGGGAGAGAGGGGAAGCTCACAAAACTTCCACATCTAAGCCCTCACCAGAGCCTCCTCATATGAAAAACACAATAAAATATCTGCCCGGGAGTCATTATCACTCTAGTATGAGGTAGACAGAAAACAGGGCAAGGCCAGGAGATGAAATGAGCCTACCTATCCCTCAGGAGTCTCTACCCAGGGAGGGTCCCTCTATGGTCTCTGAGGGTGGTGAAGCTCCAAAGATTTTGGCAAGGAGCCCTCGGTTGGAGCGGGCCTGGTCCTGGGCAGTAGCCAGGCGAGCCCGTTCACGCCCTCCTGGCCGGGCTGCTTTCCGGGCCCTCAGCTCCTGCTCAGTAGGACGCTGGGCAAATGCCCAAGAGCCATCTGGGCGGCCAGGATCCCCATCAGATGCAAGGAAACGCTGTCCCTTCTCCACACTTCGAAGATAGAAGTCAGTCTCACGCTTGGCCTGAGCAACTTCTGCTCTAAGGCGCTGCCGGCGCACCTGGCGCTCAAAGGCAAGGTGCTCACTGAGGTGGGACCAGGTGAAACGGTGCAAATACTGTGGGTAGAAAGACAAGATAATATCAGAATAGGGCAGATCAGAGACAAAGAGGAGAAATGCAGAGCAAGGTCAACCAGAAGCTATACTGGTGCTTGGGCCAGGGTTGGAGAAGGAGAATGAGAGGCATGGCAGAGAGATCTCCTCACCTTGAGGTTCCATAAGTCATAACGGAAGGGGCTACGCCTACGGGCACCCATAGGCGTGTTGTGTAGACTGGCTGCGACGCGCTTGGCTACCCGCTTGTCCCGGAACTCCACCCAGCCCTCGGTGTAGTCCTTGCTGTATGACCCCTTTTTTCCTCCCGTGGCCGCTGCTGCCTTCTTCTTCCGTTTCACGAACCTGTCTGCAAATGAAAAGACCGAGCCGTAGTTAATGAGGCCAACGCAGCTACCTCAAAAACACATCTTCCACTGTTCTGTAGACCCGCTGGTCAGGGTCCCACCTCAGTCTTTGCCTGGGAGAAAGCGAACTGTGACATGTATCCTTTCCTTTGACTACATCTTTTTCTCAAATTTCGACTCCTTAATATGGCCTTCCCTGAACACTATTTAAAACCAATTAGTGCTTGTAAGAGGGAAAAGGACGGCTCATCACATACTGTTTCTTTGACCTGGGCCGCGATGCCGAAGTACGTGCTGTTTTGTCGCTTTTACTCAGGTTGTACTCATTTAACAAAACAGTAAACAGGTCCAAAAAGAGAGGTGGGCAGAGGCGGGATTAAAAAGAAAATGGCAACAATCCAAGAACTACGGCACCATCAGGCACACTGCGCTTCCCACCCGCCCACCCCAGCCTCCTTACAAACCAACTGAACAGCCTCCAGCCAAATGCTACCAGTTCGCTCCTCAAACCAGCGCAGCCTACCCTACACGACATGCACGCGCACCCACCCATCAGTAACACCACCTTCTTCGGTTCCCCGTCAAGGTTTACAGTGTAAGCCTTACACACTTACCCTCAGCCTGAAAGAAAACTCGTCCAACTTCACCGTAGGAGCTGAGAAGGTTGCGGACGTGCAATGGCCGGAAACGCGGCGGGATGTGGCCCAAGTACACAATACCTGGTACTACCCGCCTCTTGCCTCCACGAGCTGTTTCTTCGGATTCCTCCTGCTCCTCCTCCACCTCTAGTTTCTGGTCTGTCTCTTCCAGCAGGTCTTGTTCCGTGGCTGTCTTATCGGACTCTTCGGCCTCCATGCTGGCTGATATGTAGAGCACGACTGCCGCAAAGCGCTGTGCCGAATGACGCACACCTTGTGCGACGGCCCGCGGCGTAGGGGCGTGGCTGAGGTTGTAAAATGTAATGAAAAGCAAGGATTGGGAGATGCCGGCGCGTGCAGGAGAGCACCAAGTGGAGTCGCAGTTAATCCGGCGTCTGATCAGAAACGAGGTTCAGAGAGGGAGAGCAGAATGCAAAACTTGGGGGTAGAGTTGGATAGGCAGAGCCGGAAAAGGCAGATCCGTCGTGTACAACTTACGTGGTAAAATGAGTGAATGCCTTGTTGAGACGCCAAAAAGGCAGATTTGGTGCTGACTCGTCCGGGAATTTTACAGAACAATTTTGGGGAAGATTCTGTGTTCTAGCAATCAAAATAGCATTCTACACGAGAGACCTGAGTACGACTCTGGCTGAGGGATGACTCGCCTTTTAAAGTTTATAAATTTCATTTTAAACGTAATTAAGCTTTGATTGTTTTAAAACTGAATGTCGATATTTTAAAATCTAAATTTTTAAAATTCAGTTTAACTTTGCATATTTAATTTTGGAATTTAATTAGATGTAATTTTTGAGACTATAAGTTGTGAACTTTAATATTTTAATTTTGATTTTGTTGATGACTAAATGTAAGCAGAGGACGGACACAGTGTGGCTCAACGATCAAGACAGGTTTATTCAGATTAACCTGGAAGGGGCCTTCGACCTGGTTCCAAAGGCAGCTTCCCTTACAATCTAGACTTACGTAGCCTACTGAATCGGTAAAGCTCGTCCGGGGCGGAGTTTAGCCTGTTGAAGCGGTAAAGCGCGTTTGAGGGGGAGTTGGGGACCTGGGGACTGCATGTTACTGAGCGTTGAACTCTTGGAATAAAGTCACATGTGGAAGAAACTTCCTGTTCACCCTCTGCCCGTGCCATTTAAAAGTGACTTGGTGACTCCTGTGAAGAACGTCAGCTCCCAGATCAGGCTAACAAATGGGCCTCACTTCAAACCCAGGAGGGTCAACAAAGGCAGAGCTGGGTTGAGCTGCCTCGCTCCGGAGCCCGGTCTTTCCTTACGGTCGGCGGCCCCAAGGGCGGGCACTGAGTCCTCCTCTTCCGGGTGCTGTCCTCACAGGTTTCTCCTGAGATCTCGAACCCCACGAATACACCTGATACTGGCGGTTCTACCGCGCCTGGTGGCCCTGGAGACTATCCCAACACCAAGCCCCGGGCCGTATGTCCCGCGCGGACGCTGAGCCTGGTCCCACTCGAGTCACCCGAGGAAGCGCCCACCAGGGGGCGCCCTTAAAGCTGAGATTCTTCCCACCCACAAAGCGATGGGACCGGCTGAGGGAGCGCCCTGGGACCTTTTTTATTTCTTATTTTCTATGTCTTGTTTGTTCGCTTGCTTGTTTATTTGGCCAGGCAACAACGTTGGTTTTACTGGCATTAACCAAGGGTGAGGAACTGCTGCCTCGCAGGCCTGGGGTGGCCCCACTCAATTATTAATATACATCACCTTCCCTGGAGACTCCGATACATTTTTTGTTACCCCAACTGCAGCCCATTCTAAGCACGAAGTTAACCAGACGGAAATAAGCGGTGGCAAACATGTGCCCAATTACATAGCGGGCTTGATATTTTTTCCTTGCATAGGTCCCAGCTACATTCCTTAAAATAACTCAAACTTGCGGCTGCAGCTCCTTTCTTGCGCTCCCACTTACACTGTTAATTTTAAGACAACTTTTCAATTATCCTCCACTCCTAGTGTGTGTATGGGAAATTGGGGTGGAGGAGTGAATTCTATCCTCTTTTTCGTCCTTAACGCCAACATTTTCTAAACACGACAGTGGGTGAAAGAGGCACACGTCTTGGATTTGTGTAGAAAGATAGGTGGGTGTGTGTATTTTTGAGGGAGATGGTGCAAAAGGAACTAGGGCTGTATCAGTGTGATGGATGGGCACGACGCTACTTTTATGTTTGAAATCATCTCTATCAAAATCTTCTTCAGAAAGTACCCAGATAACCGAGGACACCAAAGGCTATTGCATATTCTAACCTCCAAGAAAAATTAAAGTGAAAACCTTGGGGGCAAGGGGCTCTTCATTCCCAGCACCTCATGCGCGTAAGCACCAGCTGTGGTTTATTGGTCCAGTATGACGAGGAAGAGGGACGCGGGAGTAGAAACTGCATTTGATCAGCAGTATGGGGGACACAGGAATGGGGCCAAGAAACTGGGAGCGGGCGTAAGACTCGGGGTAGGAGTGGAGGTGAAGGGTGTTATGAGGATGCGAATTTCACAAGTGAAAAATGAAAACAGAGACTTCCAGGAAAGGCGCTTTTTAAACCACCTGAAAAATAAAAGCAGAGACTTCCTGGAAAGGCAAGATTTTCAGCCACCCAGTTGCCCTCCCCTCTGGAAACATCAGGCACTTTCTTGCTTGGAGCCTTATTTTGGACTCTAAAGTACACTTACGTTGCTTTCTGAAACGTAGTACAGTTCAAAATTCTCATCCTTCGAGCCGGATTCGAACCAGCGACCTAAGGATACCCAATTTAGCACAACTACAGTCCTCCGCTCTACCAACTGAGCTATCGAAGGATACACTTGCATAGGTTTTTTAGAATCGCTAAAATAATGTATGTCCTGATAGTTTGTGTTTTAATTATAGTCATGTTAATTTTTAAAAATACAGTCAACTTAAAAGCAGTCCTCCAGGAGGCTGAAAATGTTCTATAGAATAATGTGAGTAGCTGACTTTATGGGTTTATTAGACATATGTAAAGTTCATCAGGTTGCATATCTAAGGCATTAGGATATTTACCTGTAGCTCAAAACAAAATCCCAACCAGGAGCCCATGATAGCTATACATCATCCCCTAGATATATACAGGTAGGGTGAAATCCCAGGATTACACCAGATGCCCCACTGTTCTGTCTGATCACCTATTCCTTTCTTTTTTCAAAAGTATCTGGATTTGCTTGATTAAATGATGTGGTTGCCCTAAATACAGGCGACTGAGTTAAAGAGGATCTCAGAGTTGTGAACAAACAGTTTTCAGGGCATTTTGGTACCATTGGAATTCTCCTTTCTAAAAATTGAATGAGAAATCATGTATGTTCATAACTCTACTGGTGATGTGGGAAATGTTTTTTGTTTGTGTAAATTTTCTTAGTTGGACAAATAATTTGTATCGTTCATATTATGTTACATGCTTACAGTGGGGCAATTAAAATAAAACAAACACCTTGAATTTTTTAAGTGGAAATACAAATATTTCTTTTTCAAAGTAAATCATCTAACATAGAGAGAGGCTCAGTGGAAATTGTTATCTGCTCAGCTTCCTTGTGCCAGACATGGATAACATGCCAAACTATCTGGCAAAAAAAGGTTTTGATAGAAAAATTCCAACTTTTTCTTCAAATGGCTACTGCCAATGCCTCCCATTAAGAGTATTAATAGCACATAGTTGATACTACATTCAGTAATTAAATCCCCTCCAAGAGTAACTAAGAAAATAATATTCGGTAACTTTCCTTTCAATACCCCTCCTAATAGTGAGCAGTCAAAGAGAAAGGAACCTAAGATATGCCCAGTTTCTGTGTTCTATCTGTGCCCTGGACACCAGGTAGAAAAGGTACAGAGATGCCAACAAGTGGGGAAATTTCAAGATGGGGCTGGATTCAATGACTGCTGCAGAAGTGTTGTCTCTGTTGGGATGACACCTAGAGAAACAGGAAGCCCCCAGAAAGGAAACAGAAAAGACCAAGAATACCTCTGTGCCTCCAGCCTTGGAGTGTCTAGCCTCAATTTATGGCAAGGCTTAACCATAGGGTCAAATAGTAAAACTGCAGTGTGGTTAAGAGTCCACCTCAACTGTTTTAGTCTCCTAAGGTTGTGTCTTGGTGCATTTGTTAAAATGGTGTATATTAAAATAAGTGAGAGTGGGTAATTTACAAAAAGTAGAAATTTATTACTAATAGTTTTAGGGGCTGGGAAGGCCAAGAGTAAGACATTAATAGATTTTCTGCTTGGTGAAAGCTGCTCTCTTCTTCTAAGATGGCACCTTGTTGCTGCATCCTTAAATGGCAGAAAAGATGAAAGGGCAAAAAAGGGAAAATCCTACTCCCTCAAGCTCTTTTTGAAAGACACTAATTCATCCATGAGGGCAGAGCCCTTATGACCTAATCACTTCCTAAAGTCTTCACCTCTTAATAATATCACACTGGGTCTTAGCTCCAACATAAAGAGTTTTGGAGAGATACAAAATTTTGTTATAGCATCCTGGAAGGCTTAAAACAACCAAAATATATTTTCTTACAGTTCTGGAGGCTGGAACAGCCAAGATCAAGTTGTCAACTGATTTGGTTCCTGGTGAGGATTCTCTTCCTGCCTTGTAAATGACCTCCTTGCTGTGTTCTCACATGGTGAAAGTGCTACGGTGTCTTATAAGGACACTAATCTTATGGACCATTTATATTACAACCTCATTTAAACTTATCTTCTTCCTTACTCCAAACAAGTCACTTTTGGAGTTAGGGCTTCAATGTAGAATTTGGGGGGAACAGAATTCAGTCCATAGCAGTGAGTTTGGAGTTGAGAGTCAATAGTAGCAACTGGCAAAACTTCCATGTGAACTTTAAGATATTCCTGATCTTCATTTACCTCTGTGGAAACTGAGAAGTTGAAAATTTTAGTATCTGATGTTGCTGGAAACCAGAATTCTCAACTCATGGCAGAAACCAGATAAACCAGTCACTCCCAGTTTATAGTTGGTCATGACAATTTCTTTCACTACAATTTTACTTCTGCACTCCTAGTGGAGTCATAGAAAATACACAGGGAGAAAAGAATAAGTGGAGGCCAAATTGACTGAGTCAATTCTATCCAGGGACAAGTAGAAGAAAGTACCTATAGGAGGTGAGAATCAAGGTAAGGCTTATTTTGAGATGAAGGCTAGGTTTCTACACACACTTAGAATACCTGAGTTTTGAGCTTTCTTGTCTAAGATATGGGGGTCAGAGAAGGA